TAATTTTATGTAAAAAATATATTATTCTTATTAATATACAAATAAGAACAGAATATTTAGCTGCACGTATCGGTGTATCCGTTAGACTTATGTTTAAAAAATCGGTATCGGCCTTCAAAAACCTGTATCGTCGATCTCTAATTATTAGTAGTTGTATCACGGCTAGTCAGTGTTAATTTTTGTTTTGTGTGTACTATCTATAGTTTGTAAAGTAACTAGTGTGTGAAACTCTGTACTGATACTGCTGTGACACCTGAATTTCCCCTCGGCGGGACAATAAAGGCTATTTCTATTCTTCTTCTATACTGGCGGCCTACGTGGGCCATAATCTAAGTGGGCTGAAACGCCTATARTGAGACACAGCTTTTGTTTAAAACAGAAATTAAATTTTATAATCAACACTGTCTGTCTGTTAGCAAAATATCTCAGGAACCATTCAACAGAATTTGGTGAAAGTTTCGTGTGTAAATCAAGRTGGCTGCCACTGCTAAWCAACCTTAGCTAACGTATAACATGGCTACAACACAGTCMGTGTTAGAGACAATGAGCTTCTTTTGGTGTGGTAGTAGCTGGAAGTCATTCACAACGCATGAACCAAACCTTCTCCACCTGCTGCTTTCCAAGCTCCCAGAGTTGTTGGAGAATCTTGACCCCTTTCCTGGACGAARTCATCAGGTACTCTGCATTTTCAGGGTGCATCGTCACAGAGTAACAAGCTAAAACAAAAGACTGGCAGAAGCGGGCCAGCACCAGCAAATACAGGCAATCTCTCTCGTCCTCGTTGAGGGGAAAGACGCTTTCAAAGCCGGCGAGGACGGGTCGACCCACCTGAACGGGTTCAGGGTGCTCTATCATCATGTACATTATGGTGATGGCAACTTCATGGACGTAGTAGCCACAGTTCATGTCTGAAAAGTCAAGGATGCCAGAAATCTGGTGGCCACCTCTATCATCGGGCTGCACGAGTACATTGAGTTCATTGAAGTCGCCGTGATTAATGCCTTAAAAAACACAACAAATATACAATTTACACATCCCACATTAAAAACGATTTGTATGAAATAAGATCAGCTTTCTAATTTGAATTTAAACCTGATTTAAAACAACAAATATCAAAAGGAAAATAAACTCACACTTGCGAAAGTTGAGCCGTTTGGATTCTACGAAGGTCTCGTACTGATGGATGACAGACTTCACAATCTCCTGAAGAGGATCTCCATCCAACGCCCAGAGGTATTCCTCCAAAAGGACTACATTAGACAGACTCCATATAAATTTCTCCCTTTGTAGAATGCTGAGATTAGGGTGTTCCATCTGAAAATCAATGGCATTGATGCACATGACTGAAGAAATTATTAATGGTATGGACAACCAAAACTTTGCAGTCACAGTATTTATTGATTTAAAAAAAGGTATTTGATACTATTGATCATGATATTTTATTAAATAAACTGGAAAAATGTGGAATTAGGGAAGTGGTGGCTAAGAAGTTATATTCAAAATAGGAAACATTTTGTTCAAATCGGTGATCATACATCATTATTAAAAAATATAACTTGTGGGGTCCCGCAGGGCTCACTATTGGGACCAGAATTATTCATTCTATATGTAAATGATATGTGCAGAGTATCAGAATTGTGCAAATATATTTTATTTACAGATGATACTAACTTCTTTTATTTTGGAAATAATCTCCAGCAGCTTTTAGAGAGTCACCACAGAAATGACAAAATTGAAACATTGGTGTGATTTAAATAAATTGTCATTAAATTTAAATAAAACTAAATTTATGGTATTAGGAAATAAAAAAAAACCTTCAAGAACACAAATAAAATAATGATTGAAAGCATTGATATAGAAAGAACAAAATAAGTTAAATTTCTGGGTAGGGCTGCAACTAACGATTATTTTAATAATCGATTAATCAGTTGATTATTTTTCGATTAATCGATTAATCGGCCAAATCATTAAAATGCTTACGGTAATTACATGAATATGAGTAGATATAAATTAAGTTAACTCCTTAAGGATGCAAGTTATTGATAATGAATTAATC